CCATTAACTGCTTTTCTCTCAACCCCAAACACCAGGCATCTGACGGAAAGACCTCCATCTCCCTGACCTTCCCCGGGGTAGCAGGCCTTCCCCGCAGAGTGGGCGGAGCCTATGAATGCTGGTGGGACGCACCTGTAACCCTATCACATCAGATGGGGAAGGGGAGATCTAGAATCACATCTTTAAAATCAGGGTTTTCTCAAATGAGAGATTCAAACCAGGAGGAGGACCCAATGAGTAGGTGCTGGCTCACAGACGAAGACCAGGTGACAACGAGTGCGGGCAGCCTCCGGAAGCTAAGAGTGGCCCCAGGCTGACAGCTGGCAAGAAACAGGAACCCTGGTCCCACAAGCACAACAAACTGCATTCTGCCAACACCCGGAAAGCTTCGAAGCAGATTCTTGCCCAAAGCCCCGGAATAAAAGCCGGAGGGTCGGCCCTGAGCACAGAACACAGCAGGATGAACTTCACCTACAGAGCCGTCGGCTAATAAATGCATGTTCTGAACTGCCACATTCATGGTAATTAATTACACAGCAAAGAGAATTTATACACGACACATTCCCATTTTAAAAAAGCAGAAAAGTAGCCATACATTAAAGCTACTTTCACGATTTCAAATTTCATCTCTTACTTACCTTCTGAATCTAAACACCTTTCGAACTTCAAGGATAACTGGTAGGTGTCATAACATCGAACCCGAGGTTTATATGTTCCTATATTTAAAAAAAAAAATTAATGTGATATAAAACCTAAAGGACATTTCTTCATTGTCAATATCCTGAAGATATATTAAGTATACTTTTTGTTCAGAGGTAAAGAGGATTCATTATAACCACATGAAAGAAGTAGAATTTAAAAGCAGCCCTCCTTGGGGGCCAAGAAGAAAACCAGCAAAGGATACAAATAAGCCAGTCACAGAAAATGAAATACAAAAAAGGAATAAACTTCACAAATAATCTAACAAAGTAGATTAAAACAATGAAAACAGTTATTGTTCATTAGAATGGCAAAGATTAAGACAGATGCATAGATGTGTAGATGTGGGGGGGGCGGCTATAAAAAGGAGGACTCTCACACACTTGGTGATTAGTATAAATTGTTACAACTTCTCTGAAGGACAGTCCAGCAATATCTGTAAAATATGTGATGTTTATACAGCCTGAATCTGTACTCCGACTTAAACAAATTTATCCTAGAGAAAGACACTCACAAGTGTACCAAAGACGCAAGGAGTGTTCACTGCAGCAGTTCACAAACGGCCAAAACTGAAAGCAAGTAAGATGTCCGCGGACACGGAAATGATGAAAAAGATGATGGCAAACCATCACGTAGCTCATAAAGAGGATGAAGACCCATACTGATGGGGAAAGCCCCCAAAACATACTACCAAGTAAAAGAGTACAGAGAGGTGGGTGAGTGCTGCAGAGCGGTGCCTACAGCCGCAGGTTTACAAACCAAACACTGGTCATGTAGGCACTGTGTACAGAAAAGGTGGGAAGAACAAGCACATTGACTGCTTTTCTCTGGGAAGGGCAAGTTTAGGGCCTTTCACATTTTATCTTAGGCATTTCTGTAATGTTTGCATTCTTTACAAGTGTATCATGTTTGCAATCAAGAAAAGAAAAAGACTGTTTTTTGTTTTTAAGATTTTACTTATTTACTGACAGAGAGAGAGAAAGAGACAGGGCACAAGCAGAGGGAGAGGGAGAAGCAGACACCTCGCTGAGAGGGAGCCCGCTACAGGATTCAATCCCAGAACCATGGGATCATGACCTGAGCTGAAGGCAGACAGTCAACGAGTGAGCCACCCAGGCGCCCACAAAAAGACTGTTGTGTTGTTTTTTTTTTAAAGATTTTATTTATTTATTTGACAGAGAGAGAGAGAGAGAGAGAGATCACAAGTAGGCAGAGAAGCAGGTGGCGGGGGGGTGGAAGCAGGCTCCCTCCTGAGCAGAGAGCCCAATGCAGGGCTGGATCCCAGGACCATGAGATCATGACCTGAGCCCAAGGCCGGGGCTTAACCCACTGAGCACCCCAGTGCCCCAAAAGACTCGTTTTTAAAAGCAGTGCATATATTTTTTTAAAGTAATGAGACCTCATTTAAAAATAGTATTAAGGGGCGCCTGGGTAACTCAGTGGGTTAAAGCCTCTGCCATCGGCTCTGGTCATGGTCCTGGGATCAAGCGGGGAACCTGCTTCTCCCTCTCTCTCCTGCTTGTGCTCTATCTCTAGCTATCTCTCTCTCTCAAATAAATAAAGTCTTGGAAAAAAACAACAACTATATACAGCATATGTAGTTCTTATATATGAACTGTGGGCTAAAAATGTGGATAGTGTTAGCACTAGGACAACTATTAACATAAAACAAAAGAGACTGGCATGTTGATGGATAAAGTTGTCAAATAAGAAAGTGTTTGGAAAAGGGATAAAGATGGATAATGTTAATCCAGCAAAATGAAAAAAAAAAAGTATGTGGACAATACACGGGATAGATGCACCAAAATCCCAGCCAAACCGCACACTGGGTAATGCTCTTCAAAAAGTTCCCTATATTTCACGGCTTTTTGGAACTGATAAATCTTCTAATATAAAATCTTAGTGACATAAAAAATATTCGTCCATTATACCATTATACAGAAAATTATGTTAAAAGTGACCCTTTCAGGAACTCATTCCTTGCTGATAGGAATATAAAATGATCTGACCACTTTGGAAAATGTCTGGCAGCTTCCTAGGAAACTAAAGAGACACCTACCTTACAACCCAGCAATGTCCTCAAAATAAGCCTGTGTAAGATTGTTCGTTGTGCTTTATCAGTAATAGCCAAAAAATGAAAACAGTCCAGGTGTCTATCATATGAAGAATGGATAAATAAACTCCAGTATATTCTTACACGAAAATACTACTTGGTAATAAAAAACAAAACGATACAAAAAAAACCTACTGACACACCTAACAACATGTATGAATCTTTTTTTTTCTTTTTAAAGATTTTATGTATTTATTTGGCAGAGATCGTAAGTAGGCAGAGAGGCAGGCAGAGAAGGGGAAGCAGGCTCCCCACTGAGCAGAGAGCCCGATGCGGCGCTCAATCCTAGGACCCTGAGATCATGACCTGAGCCGAAGGCAGACACTTTAACCCGCTGAGCCACCTAGGCGCCCCCAACATGCATGAATCTTAAAGTCCTAAGAAAAGAAGGCTCACAGAAAAAAAGTCCATAGTGTATGACTACATTTACATAAAGTTCCAAAACAGGCTAAACTTGTCACCGGTACAAAAAAAAACACTCAGCAATGGTTGCCTGTGCATCGGTGAGAGCAGGACTGACTGTGAGGAACATGAAAGATGTTTCTGGATGAAAGGAATGTTCTGGATCTTGACTGGGGTTTGGCCTACACAGGTGTATACATCTGTCAATACTCCTTCAAAAGAGCTGTGCATTTCACTATATGTAAATTTACCTAAAAGAAAAACCACAAATAAAAGTAAACTCTAGATAATGGTATACACACCGAGATACTTAAGGGAAAAGTACAGTGGTATCTGCTACCTGCTCTGAGATGTATCAAAAAATAGGACAGACTGATGACTGGTTGGAGATGGACAGATAAGACCAAGCAAAAGACTACTGAGAATCTAGGTGGGGGGCAAAGGGATGTTCACTGCACAATTTCTTCAGTATTTCTGTATGTTTGAACTTTTTTATAGTAAAATGTTAAGGTAATTTTAAAAAGCAACTTCTCCCATCCTAGCACTTCCTGCTATGAAACGCATGGACATCATTAACCAAAAAGATGCTTACCAGTTGCTAAGATATACTGTCCATCTTTTGACACCTTAATAGTGGTGCAAACAGTAGGCATTTCAAAATCCTGAATAAGTTCAATTCTCCTGCGGACATCTACAAAGAGAGGAAATAAGTAATGGATTTAACTACCAAGTGCTTATTTTATTTCCTAAAAAGACAAAGCACACAGAGCAGTCACTGCAAACACATCAACAATGTCCCTGTGCTTCCAAGCCTTGGGAAAGCACATCCCTACAGACCCACCCATCACACAGGGGGGTTTTCTTAGCGCATACATTATTTTTATACATTAGTATTTCATTTTTACTTTTTACTTTTTACTTTTTATAAAGAAAAAAGTATAAGTACTATCACTACTTGAAAAAAAAGTGTTTGCAATGGTGTATCAAACACCAAGTTTCAAGACCTGGATGAGGGGGAAAAGAACAAACATTACAGCACTATCACGGCTCAATCACGGCTAAGACAAAAATCTTACCATTTTTTTCCTCCTAAATAATAAAAGCTTAAAATCTAAAGTTTATATAAGAAACTGGTACCAAGCTGACTTTTGCCTCTGCTGGCACCGCAGCTCTGAGCCAAGAGGACCCAGGCTAGAGTAAGATTTAGAGCAATTTCTCTGGATCAAAACTGACTCTCACAAAACCTGGTTCGCTTCTGTAAGAACGTGTGCATTCCCGCTGGCTGCAACGATCATTTATGACTCTATGGCACATTACTGCCTGGTTCATTATATTAAACCCAAAAATAAGATTCAAACACAGTAGGAATGGCCTACTCGATATGGAAGACACAGGATCATTTTGAGACAGGTCAAGAGAAAGAGTGGAGGAACAGTTTTTTCCTCTAAGTGATCCAGATCTGTTTTCCTACACACTAGGATGCTGGAGTGGACAGGGGACTCAGAAGAAATCTGAATCAGCGAACATTACTAAGGCAGCACTTCTGGTTTTCCTTGATTCAAAGTTCTCTCATCTAACTTCGGTACTATCTATACGAAGCCTTTTCTTCCAAGATGCTTGCCTTGGGCTATTTCTCTCACACCCAGAAGAAACCTCTCCAACATCTTCGTCTTTGATTTTTAGGAATGAATTTAAATAACATATAAGGAAAGATAAATCATCTTTCACATATGGCAAGCTGTGATGGAGAAAATTCAGTGAAAATTTGTTTAAGAAAAACTGATCAATGCCTTAAACTTATGCAAAAGCAAAGTAACAATTTGGTGTGACACCCAAAACCTCACTGTTAATGTGAGATGAATCGTTTAGGTGGTAAAGGTTGCCTCTAAGGTGACTGGCCTATTTTGCAGGATACCTGGGAGCCATGATCTGCCTGCCCCCTTTAAAAAAAAAAAATAAAAAAATAAAAGACTGATCTTACATTTTTTCCCAGCTGACATTAAAAAAAAAAAAATCAGTATCTTCTGCAGTGATATTTTAGTAAAAAGATTTTGATACAAAAGAGAACAAAGCAGTTATGGCACGGCCAGGAGAGACCGTCCTCCTCGCGTCTCCTGCATTCCTGTACATCTTGCTAGGTAAGGCAAGACTACAACGCCCTGGCCATGCCTTCACCCGAACTATCTGCCAGCGTTATCTGCGCAGCCGAGAACCTTGACGGCTAAGGTAACATGTCTCCTCTGGGCAAACGGAAGGCTTGCTACCTGCTTGCTACAAAAGCAGTGGACTTTCTCAAGCGTGGTGGTCCTTAGCCGCAACGCAAGCCCCCGAGTGCCCAGCAGCCCCGGGGGCCCTGCTGAGTGCCCCTGGGGGACTCAGTGCGAGGGGACCTGACAGTAATCTGCTGACACTCATAACCATCTGCTGTGCCTCACCTCCGACCCAGGAGAGCATGTCTTCTGCTATTAGCCATGAAATAGGAACAGGCTAACTTTTTGGATTCCAAGTATGTAGAATTAAACCCCACATTCACCAGGAACACATCAAACACAACAGAAGGTTTCTTGGGAAGGAAAAGGGCAAAAAGTATATTTTCCAGCGTATTAACTGCACTGTTTTGTAAACCTCCACTTAAATATAACAACAAATGTGTGAAAGCACTGTAATATGGATCATGAACGTAGCCAAAGAGGGAAGAAATAATACTTACCAACATCTTTCTTCTGTAGTGCTCTCTTCTTCCTGTCAGAAAGCCACTTAAAGAAAATGAAGAGACTTCAGTTCAAATCATATTTACTTTCTCTGCTTACAAAAACGCTCACACTAAAAAATCAAAACCTTATAGGACATATTAACATAGGAAGTGAAAATATTTTGTAATCCAATCCTGTTAACATATCCTCTGGATTTTTTTTGACTCTTGCCCTTAGAAATCAGAATAAATGTAGCTCTTCATTGTCTGCCCCTGAAATATTTGGAGTCAGTGATTAGATTCTTCCTTTTCAGAATTCAGGCTAGATAATTCCTCATCTACCAGTTATATTTATACATTAGACAATAAGTTTTAGAATTGCTAAGTTTTACACAAAAGAAAACGAATTCATCCAGAAGGCACTAATCCTCAAATGTTATGGGTTACAATTAATGTATGGAATAACTTTCTTTACTCAAGGGAAATATTACTAAGTAAAACATTAAAAGGAGAAATTTTGTAAACTTATTTTTTTAGAAAGAACAAAACTAGATCATTAACCAGATAGCTGATACTTGATAATGCAGAAATGACACTTTTAAGTCATACTCACTGACAGCAAATTTTCTTCTGAAATCAATGTAGCTCAGCGTAGCAGGCAGCGTAATTCCAAAACCCAAGTCTCTCAGGTGGCCTAGCTACCTCATGCCCACTCCTCCTCTCCCCAGCTACAGTCCTTTGCACACAGCAGCCCAGGTTAAAGCCCGACAATGGCTTCCAGAAGCACTAACAATAATACCCTAACCTCCTACCTGAGCCTTCAGGGCCCCTCTCTCCAGCCTTACCTGCCCGCACTCTCTCCCCTGAGGATATAGTCACACCTGTGCCTCTTCTGTTTCTCCAACATGCCAAGTGCACACCTACCTGGAAACACGTATACCTTCTGTTCTCTCAGCACTGAAAACTCTACCCCAACTTCACATGATGGGCTCCTTTCCATTATCCAAGCTTCTGCTCCTACCACCTCTTGCAGAAAGGCCTTCCCTGAAGGCTTTATCCAAAACACTCTCTCTCTAAACACCTTGGCCCCAATGTTCACTTCTCGTCACACCTCACTCAAAGCACTTATTATCTGAAGTGTCTTCTTGTCTGTTCACTCATCCTTTTTCCCAACAAGGAACCTGATCTGATGTGTTCACCATACAACCCAGTCTCAGAACAGGGCTGCCGGCACACAGTCACTTCTCAACAAATGCGCAGACTGGACAAAATGAGAACGATGACGCTGTGTGAAGAATAACTGGTAGATGAGGAAGTATCTAGCCTGAATTCTGAAAAGGAAGAATCCCATCACGGACTCCAAATATTTCAGGGGCAGACAACGAAGAGCTACATTTATTCTGATTTCTAAGGGCAAGAGTCAAACCAACAGCAGCATGCTATAAAACGCCAAGTTTTAAAACCACTATCCAACCAGTAATCTAAAAATGGAAATAAGCTCCTGCTGAAAGTTTCCTCTTACTGGAAGAGCTTGGACAGAGTCTTGACCAAGACTTACAAGAAATTAAAAACCAAACCAAGGCTGCGCTTGGATAAACCGTCCTTCACATCACTGGAACTGTTACGTATTTTAAATATGAGAAGACTGTAAAGGGATCACTATTTTCCCAGCCCCTTCCAACTCTGAGGTCCGAAGACTGGATGAAGTCAAGGTAAGGTCAGAAAGGTTCAGAAATATTCTGCCCTGTACACCATAAACTCGGCAGATGCGTTTTCTTGCTCACTGCTCTATCTCCAGAGCTTGGCATACAGTAGGCATCCAACAAACAGCTGATGAACGGGGGAGAAATGTCTGTAACCCATCTGTCCAAGCTTTCCTCCTGTGTGCAGTAGCTGGGAACATCCCTAGAAGCCCCAAAAGACGAGTCCTCTGTTCTAGGGAACGTGACAAAAGTTGCAGCGAAGCTCATCTACCCCCGTCACCCTCCGCCTCGTTTCTAGCGCGGGAACAGCAGTGTCCTCGTCCACCACCACCGACCAGCTTCCACTGGGCACCGTCACTAGCCTCCGGGGCCTCCCCGAGCCAGGGGCCGGCCAGGACGAGGCTGACACAGCAGCCAGGGCCGAGGAGAGGGCTGCTACCTTGCCAGGAAGGGGACCCCGAAGTGCCTCACCTCGGGCAGAGACTTGCCGCAGCTGAGACTGTAAATCTTCACCTCGTTGAGGCTGGACACCTGCATGGCTGCGCAGAGCAGCGGCGACACGCGTTCCTCCCCGGGTCCCTCTCCCCGCGCCACACGCGAGAATCAGAAACTCAGCGTGTCCCCCGCGCTACTGGGCGGCGTGCGGCGCCGGCGCCGGCTGATGACGTCGCCCTCGCGCGCCGGAATCGCGTCAGTTTCCGGAAGAGGGAAGTAGAAAGGCTGGGAGGAAAACGCATGAGTCCAGGGAACGCCGGCAGAGAAGGCGGCCACGAATCAGAGTGGAGTTGTATTATTTTCTCTCCGGTGTTTCAGTAAGAATACATCACTGATGAATGCACTTTAAAGCTAGTGTATTAAAAATGTTACTTTCGGGGCACCTGGGTGGCTCAGTGGGTTAAAGCCTCTGCCTTCCGCTCAGGTCTAGGATCCCAGGGTGCTGGGATCAAGCCCCGCATCGGGCTCTCTGCTCAGCGGGGAGCCTGCTTCCCTTCCTCTCTCTCTGCCTGCCTCTCTGCCTGATTGTGATCTCTGTCAAATAAAACCTTAAAAAAAAAAAAAAGTTACTTTCGTCTGGATTTGTTTGACATTCCTCCACTAAAAAAGGAAAGAAAAGAAAAAGCATACTAAGGAAAGTGGTAAAAAGAGTGGAGATCAAGGACGAAGTTCTTTTGCCGCTGATGTCTTTTGAGACGGGTGTGGGACAGAAACGACAGATGCAGCCCCTCACTACATCGTTTTCAGAAAGTCCTCAGACTCTGCTGATTGTCCAGTTACATAGAGAACAGCCTTTACTGTTACCCAGACGTGAGGACTGGAGAATTTTCGGCTTAGAAGAAAAGTTAAGGGGAAAGTGTAGGTCAACAGCGCTCAAACGGGTCCCTTTGAAATTGTAAAATAGTACCACGTCCCTTACATGTAACTGAGGTGGGTCATTTTGAGCACAGGCTATATTAGTTTATGGCAGGGTGAGGACTTCTGGGCTTAGCAATTTTCTTTTTGTTGTAAGCGTCCTCAGAGTTCCAGTCCAGATACTACCTTCTTTGAGGAAGCATGCAGGACTGTCATCCTCCTTGGGGAGGCAGTGTGCCGCAGTAGAAAAGTCATGGGCTTCCTAGCAATAATAAAATGGACTTTTTATGACTTTTAAGCAAGTCATAAAAATAGAAAACTTTTTCCAAAATATGCAGGATGATTTCCAAGAAACCTTAAATAATATTATACAAATAATGCTGCTTTTATTATTTCCACAAATGCATTGTAAAAGCCCTTTGACTGTAAAACAACAGTATCTTGTCACTAAGTACTCTGTGTTAGATAGATATATAGACCTAATTTTTTTTAAGATTTTATGTATTTATTTGAGAGAGAAAGAACACCAGCAAGGGAGTGGCAGAGGGACAAGCAGATTCCTGGCTGAGTAGAGAGCCTGAGGCAGAGTTCCATCCCAGGACCCTGACATCAGGAATTGAGCCAAAGTCAGTCTTTTAGCCGACTGAGCCACGCAGGCAGCTCTATCCTACTAATTTTGATAATTAAGGGCCCTAGGCCATTTCACTCTACTTTATTCAATCCTATTTCCCACCGACCCCTAAATTTGCCTTCTCTTTTGTTAGTGTTGGTTTCGTTATGGTGGTTTCGAATCTTTGCTCATACTAATCTGGATTCTGGAATGCCCTCCCTTTCTCCTTTTATCCAAATTCTACCAACTTTTCAAAACTTACCTTTTGAGTATCTTGTTCATTCTCCGATGCTTTCACTGTACTGTATAAGTACCTTTATAGCAATTATATCTTTTTAGTAGATTTTTGTTAGCAACAGATATGGTAATTGAACATGCCCTACTAGGATAATAATAATGAACTTGGATATAACGCTGTCCTGAAAGCCTAGGCTTGGAGGTCTCCTTTAGGTGCTCTGGTTTCCTTAAATCACCACAACCTCTCAAGGTCATTTTTCAATGTCATCAAAAAAATGTCATTTTTCAAGAGCCCATAAACTTGGGACAGTCTCCTTGTGTACGTGTCCTTCACTCTTTTACCT